ATCTGCCCCACAAACGGGGGATGATTGGTCCCGCGCCTATTCTCGCTGGAATGCGCCTTCTCGACCAGGTGCTAGAGTTTCTGTAGACCTGTCGACACTGCTCGACCACATCCTCATACTATTCTGTTTGGAGTGTTCTGTGAACCGGTCTAGTATATAATATCCCATATCAACATCCATATTGTATATATAAAATAAATAAATCTATATTTACCTTTATAATAATAAAAAAACATATTTATTAAATTTTATTAGAAAAATAAAATTATTTCTCAGTTGATATATTTTTGTTTAATGTAGTTATATGTTGTAAGTTAAAAAAATATTATAATATAACACAAGTATGTCACACAAATAAAAGTGTCATACTAAATATATAATAATATATATTTTTATAAAAGTTATTTAAATTTTCAACTACTTTTTCTCAATAATTTTAGATTTTAAGGAAAAAATTAGCAAGCACCCGTGTAATACACGGACGTTGTACTAGTAATATAATAAAAGTTAAATCTATTGAAGAAATGTATAAGTCGAAAAATATATAAGTGCGATAAAATCAAACATATAAAAATATATTAATAAATATATAAAATACATATTTTTTCAACTAAATAAAAAAACATAATAGAAAAAAAATGTTCTATTTAATGAATTTATGACAAAAAGCCCAAGTAATTGGATTTAGATGGAATTTAGGTTTCAACTTTAAGCCTCGTTGATAAAAAATATACTTTAAAAAAAAGCCACTTCCTCTATATAAGACCACACATTAGACCATGTATTATTTTCATGTCATTTTTGGAAGAAAAATCTTTTGGATAGTTTTTTTTTTTTAAAAAAAAATAATCCATAAATCCTCTTCGACAAGTGTCGGGGATGGCAGTGGTTTTTAGTGTCCTTCGACCCTACCCCGTGGCGTTTCCTCAGGTTCTGGGTGGAGTACGGTTTTCGCGCGGCGATTCAGTTGTTGACGGCTTTGAACGTTGTCTTCGCGGCGATCGGGAATGTGGCTTGCGCCATTACTCTCTTATTCATGTCCTCTCCCTGGTGTTGGGATGACGGGTGCCTTCCATGAAGGCGGTCTACGACTCCTGTCATTTTGAGTTGTGGTCACGGGATTGTGTTGGAGGTGGAATTGACAAGGGCCTCTGATAGTTTCTTGGAGGTGTTTTATTTGGGAGAGTGAGTGGACCGATGGTCAGGATCTAGCTAGAAGTCGTTTGAAGCGAGTCTTAGATCCGTGCCTTGGTACGTGCTTAGATCCGTGCCTTGGTACGTGCATCTGCATTCAATTTCGGGGTGGCTGGCTGGTGGAGATGACATTATTCTAGTTATGTTAGTTTGTAGTTTGTGTGTGATGTGTGTTATTTAGTACTTATTTTAGGGAAAAAAAAATTTAAAATTGGTCCTATAATTTGGCCACTGAAAAAAACTGACCCCGTTATTGACCACTTTCAAATTAGGTCCAATAATTTGGCAATTTAATCACTTTTGGTCCTTTTTTATCCTCCTCCTAGATAAAAAAGTGATGGGACATTTTTAAGCGTGACATTAAATGCCATGGAATTTAATCTAAAGGGCAAAATAGAGATTTCATAATAATCTTTTTAATTAGTTTCTCCATGAAAATACAAACATTAAATGAAAATGACATGGAATTTAGCCTAGTTGTTATTTCTATTTTTTGCAATTTTATCCAGTTGTACAACAATTGTAGATATAGTGACAATAAATGTAGATATAGTGACAACAATTGTAGATATACTGACAGTAGATATAGTGACAACAATTGTAGATATAGTGACAAAAAATTCTTCACTAGAACTCTATTTTTTTGTAGTGATACTTGGCAGTGAAGGCGCCACATCAGCCAGAAAAATCATAAATGAATCTAACTAGGCGCCACGTCACGCTAAAAAATGCCACATCACTTTTTTATCAAGGAGGCGGATAAAAAAGGACAAAAAGTGATTAAATTGTTAAATTATTGCACCTAGTTTGAAAGTGGTCAATGACGGGGTGAATTTTTGAACAGTGGTCAAATTATATGACCAGTTTTAATTTTTACCTTATTTTATGTGTTTTTTCTCCTCTTGTGAATTATATTCTCCACTGACGAGACTATTGTAATATTGTGGGTGTGTTTGTGGTAAAAGCTCTCATTTGGGTTGTCATCCCACTCGATTCAGCTGTGTAATTGTTTCATTCAATTGTTATCGAGTGTTTTCTAGTTAGTAAAATGTAAAATTTGAAAAAAAA